GTGCACTTAGCGAATGTCTCGACAGAGCTGAGGAACCTTGGCGCGTGTCCATAATCGGCAACCACTTTGCCTGAAGTGTTTTAACGCTGCACGCACACGCACACACACACGCACACACACACACACACACACACACACACACACTACAGTGATGAATTAACTGTCAATACGGGCCCCACACACACACACACACACAAACGCTGTTCAAAGTAGCTCTTGTTATCAGCTGAACTGTGACCCTGGCGGGAAATCAAATGGCTCTTCCAGGCTAAATCTCAGCCTCAGGCAAAAAACGCACACACCCCCCACACACCCACGGGAAACCAGGTCACACAGAGTGAGAAGTGCACTGAACAACGAAAACCCTCAATCACTTCTACTTCACTTGCTGTATTATGTAGGAACAATACTGTCTAGCACTCAGTACACCAGCGCTTCTTTGCCTAGAAAACGTCTCAGCTCAAATGTGATGATGATACTTACATTAATGGAAGCAACAAGCCTAGAAACGGTTTTGTCAATCTAAAGTTTTCCAGGTGATTCAGGATTCCCGCCCACTATCTTGTTGTCAACAGAGTGAGACACAGTGTGTGTGTGAGAGAGGAGAACAGAGACTGACCTGAGGGATGGGCATGCCACAGTCAGTCTGCAAGTTCGGCAGCCAATCGGAGTGAGTTTGCATAATGTACTGACACAAATGTTTTCACTCTGACAGTCATCTTACTGACAGTTACAGCACAAACTTAAGGACCATTTCCCATGAAATAATGAAGCTGGTATGTTGGTACAAGTCATGATTATTAGTCAACGGCTATGGAATAATAACAACATCCACATTTTGAGAACATTTTCACAATGCTCTTCCACAGGGCACGATATTCCCTGGGAAAAAGAAGGCTTGATTTACGAGATTTATGTATAGACTAAATGAATGCACAAACTCATGCTAGTTACACGATCCTGCGAGGCAATAATGTTACTCAAATGATGTTCTTACAATGCAGCGCACATCATTACAATATCTTTTACCCGCTCCCAAATTCAATGTGAAATTATGACAAGCTCAGTTTACCTCTTTAGTGAACACGCTCGTTCAGCCTCATCAGTTCTAGCTGGGAAATGGAAAGTGATCAGTTGTCTTTGCCACAGCAGTGCATTGCTCTTTCTTTACTGTCAGGAGTACATTTCCGGTCTATTGTTATATTGTAACAATCCTACTAACAAGCAGCACAAAGTTAAGTTAGTTGTCTGTAGCTTAGGGTAAAAAAAACACGAAGATATCAAGTATCACCTATTGGGTCGGTCCATCGCCCGTTGGGGTTTTTTTGGGCCGTTTTTTGTGAATTTATTTAGCTAATTTAATGTAGAAGAATAAGAGGCGCTCTGCAGCACACACACTGAGCAGAAGAACAAGGAAAAACAGCCAGAGCCAGAATATTTATACTCACAGCTAACTGCAGTGAATTAAAGGTTTATTTCAACTAAGGCAACAAGGCGACCCAACCAGGACTGTTACTGCGGGACACGTCAGGGACAGGTTGTGAAAAATGACTATCGTATGGGAAATAGTATTAGGTAGTAGTAGTAGTATGTCGCTCAGCACTCAGCCATAAACAGCAGCAGGTTAGCTTAGCATCAAGGCTGGAAGGATACAGCTAAACCTTTTCAGTCCGAAGCTCGTCCCCCTACTTGCACCTTTAAAACTGGCCAAGTTGGTGGCTTATATACTGCTTTACACAGCTTGTATACTTTAAAAGAAGCCAAGGAAAACAGATCTTAACTGCACCAGTGAAAAAGCTGATGAAATAAGGACAGACAGACAGACAGAGAACTGTTGGGTACTCTGTCCAATAAGATCCACCATTACCCGTGCTAGAGTAAAGTGTAACACATGTTGATGAAAGAAAAAGGGATGATCTCAGCACTTCTGACAGTCCTGAAGAAATTGGATATAATCAGAATCAGATGGTTAACAACAGAACTGTGTTTATTTTTTTGTATTTTTGAGTGTGTCAGTTGTTCCCTGATTTATCTCAAAAGGTTATTTCCAAACTGCAATAAATCAGAAAATGATGTACAGCAGAATTTGTTGTGTAGCAGACTTTCTTAGTTAGGCCATGTAATACTAATGTTGCTGTCACACAGAGGGCATGTTAAAATGAACACTCACACACAGACGTGTACTGGAGCAAACTCCATAACAGTGAAGTCTCAAGTTGAACTGAGTTTTAGTGAATTTGAAGCATGTCAATATCAGTGAGTGTCACATTATTAAAAAAATATAACAAGTGTGTTTTATAAGCGTAGTTCAGTGATGAAATACAATGTGTTGTCCACGTCACTTAATTTTAATGGATGATATAAGTTAGATGTTTGCTATAAGCATGTGACAGCAAATGGTAGATCAAGGCTCAACGTGGTCGTAACTGATTGTTCGATATGAATCTGCCACGGCTCCAAAGTGGGACATTGTTTTTTTTATAAATTGAGATATTCAATCAGTTCCTAAAATTATGGGTTTAAACACTAATTTCCCATGTCTGTAATCCCTTTGTGTCTCATGGGTAGTCAATAAAAATGAGTAACAAAATGTTTTAATGACGTTTTGTCTCGGGACTGTAACGGTTTGTGAACCCCCTTCCTAAATCATTGCTTATCCCCTTAACGGGGGCCCTTCGCTCTCACATAAAAGCCTTTTTCTAATGTTCATTCATGAGGGATTATTTCACAACTCATCCAAAGGATGACTCATGGCCTGGTATGTGATTAGGTCCAACTTCACATGGAGCGCAACTGAGTAAAGCCTGATCAGTGAGGTAGAAAGCAGCACCGTGATATACTGGTAATAACCTTTACGCTTCATATTCACCATTATATTGAAGCTCGCTTTGACACTACAGTCAGTGGATGAGGAACGTAAGAGAGATTCAATAAGTGTGAAAACTGTAAAAGTGTAAAATGAGACCTGGATTCAAACTGAGCTCAAACGCCACTTATCCTCCCGAGCCTCCAAAATATTCCACTAAATACTTCACAGTAAGATTCAGCATTGGATCTTTAGCATTCCAGCAGCATAATAAGCAGGTCAGGGGCCGAAGGAATCCCCTTTTCTTTGGGCTGAGAGAAAAAAAGCCAAGCCATGTGAGTACAATAGAGTGACGCGCCAACTGATGTCACCCAAATGCAAAGAGACAGTCACGCAGAGAAAACAGACTTCAATTCAATTATCCTCAGTCAAAAATACTTTGGTGATGATACCACGAAGGTGACTATTAGTACTGTGAAGAAAAAAAGGCTTCCATGCATAAGAGGTTCCTTTCAGTAGTCATCTGAGTCCAGAATAGCAAGAAGGAGAAATAAAGGAGAAACAATCCCACAGAAAGAATATTACACATTAAAGGACTTAATTCAACTAGGTGTGCAATGAAATCATACCTGGTACAATTGGCTATTTCAACAAACAAAAATACATTTACACGTAAACATTACGTATTCCCCTGGAACATTAGGAAAATACTATACAAAACTATAGAGGTCTCCAAACCACAGTGCACATTGAAGAGCTTTGTACATACTAAAGAAGAATGTAAATCAGGTTGTACAAATTCAGTGTTACAGTGGAACTGTACTGGAAATCAAACGTGGTGCAGAGCCATCTCTATGATCCAGTACCAGAAAATCCTGCACAGTCCCCTTTAAATCTTCAGTATACTAACGCACTCTTTATGCAAAGGAACCCCCTCTGTTTGACGCAGCAGGTCAGAGAAGAAAGGACACATCATATGACCACAATAGAATCACATTCCTTAAACTGACAAATGTTACAATGCAGTGCAAAGACCTAGATGAAGGGAGCAAAAAAAAAAGCATTATGTGCTTTAGAACATAAGAAGAAATCCAGTAAAAAGCCAAGTTAATGTTACTGGTTACAACAGATTTTGGACTCTTTGCGTTTGGATCAGGCCCTGCTGAAAGAAAACTGACGTGGTTTTCTGTTTCAACCCGACCCAAACAACTGCAACCGTGCTGACGCCTGATTCATACTCAAAATGATCTAAATCAAGCCCTGATTTTTCAAAGGAGTTCACTTCAACCCAGCGTACATCAACTGTGAACTGCAGATTTCTTCGCACACGAGAGCCAGCCATCGACAACAAACCTCAAATACCAGAAGATCAAGTAAAAATTGGAATTTTCACAATAGGAATATCCAAGCAGTGCCCTGAATACCGACCTAATTCAAGTTTGAGCAAATTCAAAAGAGCTGGAATTGGCCCAAACCCAGTGGGTCAGAACCCAGCCAGCTTTGGGCAGAGAATCACAGCTCGAGCGGTTAACAACTGATGGAAAACTGCTCTCCATCCGCTGGCCTGCACATTTCGGTGAAGAAAACTGGAGCTGAACGGAATCTTTACTTTCTCCATAACCAGATAAACAAGATGGCACCCCAATTATTAGGAGAATTTAAAGCATGTATAACCCGTCACTTGAAGGGAGTATTATTACACTTCTGGGTTGGGATCCAAAATGAGTCACATGCCAGTTTCTGGTGGGTCCCCACATAACAAGAGCGCTGGTTTAGGTTTATATTAGCCTTGGTCACATAATAAGCTCGAGCAGCCCCATTCTGGCCTCCTGGACCGCATGTTTTTTTAATAATAAAGAGCGACAGTTGATTCATCTGGGGGGGGGGGCAACGTGAGCCTACACACCCCCCGAAAAACGTTAACACTGTGGTGTGTGAGGAATGCTCAAGGCTACGGCTCATTCATGAAGATCTGATCAAACCAGCCACCGGGAGAGCTTTGACATAAAGGGGAATTTTATGAAGGATTGAAGTGAGAGAAAACCCTCCATTAGCAAATTCTATCACCATGGAGACGATGCCGATAGCACAACAACAACAGAAAAAAGCCAAACGGAAAAGAAAGATAAAGGGATGACACATGAACCTGCAGTCCTGCGCCGGTTACCTCTCACTGTCCACACTGCTTCCCTTCTCTGCGGGTTATAGGGCGAGAGGCTGCTTACACTGGGAACAGAGCTGCAAACAGAACACACTTCTCATGCGAGGGACCTGGAGAACATATGGCTTTGATTAGAGGGCAGGGCAGACGGAGACTCCAGTGGAAACTGCACAGAAAGAGAGAGAGAGAGAGAGGCTCTGTGTGTGAGTGTGTGTGTGTGAATTTGTGTAACAACAGAGGGGAGGGGGCTGACTCAAGAAAGGGTGACTGTATTTTCACAGTGGATGAGTGGGTGAATGCTGGAGTGCATTTTGTGTGTGTGTGCGTGTGTGAGCGCTCGTTAACAAAAAAAGATGACTCAAAAAGGGGTGGAGGATGTTGAACTTGAAGAACTGAACGCAGTGAGTGCCAGTATGTGTGACACAAGGGCACAACAGAGGTGAACCCCACCAGTGGAGACCACGGCGAACCCCGTCCGCAGCACACAAACCCACACGAACGCCGCGCTTGTTGCGGCTGGTTGAAGCCACAGGAACTGGTGTGCGAATGTCTGCTCCGCGCAATCAGCTATTTTTTTTTTCTTTCTTTGTTTGGAGAACACATTTTATTTCTGGGGATAAACTAAACGCACTGTAAGCATATGGCAACCACA